CAAATAGTTTCATTGCCCATTTTAGCAATGTATGAAGCATAGCTCACATATAATCACTTTCAGAATAAACAGCTTTCAGTTGATCAACACTGCAAATCCACAATACCAAATGAACCCTACATGAAATCTCACTCACTCTCTACTTTTTCTTATTCCTTTTTTTATCAAGGGCCACCACATCAGAATTAACTGCCAATTAATCTGGCAAATGTTTTACCAGCAGATCCTTTTAGATTGAACTAACTCATGCAACCCTAATTGCTGGGAAAGACCCACAGACTTCCACTCAAACACTACGGCCAATTTACTTGATCTAATTCTCCTTTACCACATGTCTTTGGACTGTGGGGGAAACCGGAGCACCTGGAGGAAAACCATGCTAACACTGGAAACCATGCCAACTCCAAACAGAAATGCCTCCTGGTCCACCAGGGACTCAAACCAGGGACCGTCTTGCTGTGAGGTGACAATGCCAACCACCTAGCCACTATACCATGTGAAATATGTATGGGGAAATAATTCACCCTCACATAAAATTTGCTAGGATACCAGTTAAGATCACTGGATTTTACCAGGTTATTGTAAATGAGACCACTTTTTGAGAGAGTTTCAGTACCAGTGTAACCCCTGTGGGTCTACAATACCCACTTCACCAGTATCCCCACTATGACGGGCATCTTAACTAATGCCTGCAGCCTATAATGCAAGTTGCTCCTGAGTCCATTGGAGTGAGTTTTACTCATACAGCTTTAACTAATGACTCTCTTACCCACCCTACTCTTCATCCACCCACTTTTAGTTTTACCTATACTGCAACAAGTGGAATTCACACCCGTGCATCCAGCATGGGAGATGAGCATGTAAACAAAAACACTACAGGCCACAACTTCTAGTGCGAGAGACCCTTTCTCAGTGACACTGATTTCCCTTCAACCTTATTGTCCTCCAAGTTTTGCGAACAGTGTAACCCCTCTCTTTCAACCCTCACTTTTCCAAGTGGGATTCAGACTGACATCTCCAACATTAAAATCTGCACACTAACAAGGACACTAAAGACCACAGTATCTAGTATCAGTTGCTAGTGCGGCTCTGAAGCCAAGGGGGTTTTATTTGTGCAGACTATAGTACCTCACTCATTAAAACCTCACTTCTGTTCAGGTCACAGGACCAATGAAACCTCTCTTGTTCTACTTAGGCCAACATTTTTTTATTGTACAGCCATAGGTTGAACCAGTGGTTCTCAATTCCGGTCCTCGGAACGATCAACTCATTAACAGAGAGATCCATGAACTGATCCTTTTGTGTCAAAAAAGAAAATTAAACAAAATCTGCAGGGCGAACATTACAAAATACTTGTACTCACTTCCCTTTGGCGTATTCCTTGCTTTATGAGGGGTCACCACAGAGAAATGAACCACCAATTACTCTGGCATATGTTTTACTGGCACTGGGAATACAACACTCAGTGTGGAGGAAGCACAGACACACTGTCCTATTCACACACTACGGCCATTTCACATGTACCACATATTTGGATTGTGGGGGGAAATAAAGCACCTGGAGAAAACCCACACAGACATGGGGGGAGCATGCAAACTCCAGACAGAAGGTCTTCTGGTCCAGCTGGGACTAGAACCAGCCACATTCTTGGTGTGAGACAACTATGCTAACCACTTGAGCACCGTGCTTCTCTCCCTCATACTAATTAAGTACATTTAGAAGAAATGCTAACTGGACCACTGGCACTGAACCAATTTACACCATTCATTGCTACTCTTCCAACTAGATACACAAACATTGCACCATCATGAATTGAAGAATTCTGGGCTAAGAAGGAACTGCAAAGTGGCAGACCCACGTACAAGACTTCCTGTTTGGTTCAAGACCAGCTAAAGCTAGAATGTCTATATAAAGACGGCGGTTCAGAGCAGGCTCCATTAGTGATGTGAAGTATATGAAAAGCAAGTGATGAACATAACCTGACGGTGATTTGAGGGGGAGGTGGGCAAGGGATTGTGTATCAGAGCAAGGTCAGGAGGGAAGCTATCGATCTGTTGGGCTACTGCTGACTCGGTTTTTCTTCACCGACGGGCGTGCAGGATGGAAAGTGCTCGCTCATTCTGGCTCCCTGATGCTCACAGACAGTCTTTACTCTCATACACGTCACTTCTGCACACACATCAATATCACTTAACCAAACGGGGGGAGGTTTTGCACCGTCACCCCTGGTGCCTTGGAAAATTCAGTTTGATAGACAGATTTGTACATTATGTTGGGTATTACAAGGTAAGCCAAAGTCTTTAAATCTAGCTTCCAGCTGTAACTAATGAATTATTCAGCAGATCCATCTGAAAATGTTGGGATTATCAGGTAAAACTGATTGTTTTCTCCCAAATGAGATCAAGGGGAAAAAATCTAATATATTGATCTTGCTTCTTAGCTCCTCCTTTCATTTTTAATAGTGATTTATCACAAGGGAGTGCCTGCAGAAGCGAAAATCTTTTATAAAAATAAAATTCTGTCCTAGCTATAGAGACAGCTACCTGATTTGTATGCTTGCTTGGTCTTACTTAATTGTCTCTCCAAGGTTTTAATCTGGCCAAAACCCAGCCCAAATCTGGCCTACCTTTGGGAGTCACGAGTCAGTTTCCCCAACTGCTTTACTAAGCAAGAGCGGATTGATGTAAAACCGAGCGAGAAACCCAGCCGCATGAATCTCAGCCGTCGAATTCTCCATTAGCTAATTTAAGAACGTTTTTAATTGATGGTCTCTTTAAGTACCAGCTGGCTAAAATTGACTGTATGCCATCACTCTGCTCTGTCTCAATTCACAAAATCACTAGGATTCATTAGACTAAAACTTTCATCAGCATATGCATATGGAACAGCTTCCATGAGTCCATAACCAGCAGGATTTAATTTAGTTTTGCTTGGTAGCTTTATATACTCCAACAATGATTCAGGAAAAATTATATCTACATCTATATCCATAAAATTCATTACGTAGGTAAGTGTTTGTGATCATTTTAAGCTTATAGTAACTGCTGTATTGAACATTTATCACTGCTTAATAATCGAGCATGCCATAGACACTGTGCCATATGTACTGTATAATGTTAAATACTGTACATTTGGCACAGTGTTTATAGCATGCTCGATCATTGTGCGGTGATAAATGTTTAAAACAGCAGTATGCTAATTTATTTAAAAAAAATCTCCTTAGTTTGCATATTTTCTTCAGCTAACACTGTGCTGTTTGCATTTTTGTTAAATTGAGCATTTTGTTATGGCTTTATTTTATGAAAGTACAATCAAATAAGCATTCAAAAAGGATATGCTAGCAACCTATTAGCTTATTAGCAATAGAAATGTGAAACTGCAAGCAGTGCATCATGGAAAATGAGTAACTCAAATTATACTTTAAAATCAACACATGATTACAGAGCTAAAGGTTTCAATCATGTTTTGATCACTCATTTTGCTGGATTTTTACTTTAGCTAACAGTTAGCATTTCTGCTAAATTAGCGTAATTTAGCATTTTAATATTAGTCTTAGCAGTGGAGATGTAAATGTAAAGTTGCCGTTTGGCAGTACATTCAACATGCAACATTTTAGCTTAGCAGAAATGTAACGCAAAAATGCACTGCATCATGGGAAAACACTACAGAGCAAAGTATACTTAATAAAAAAACATGTAAAACAGTATGCTATGTAGTGCTAAAGATTTAAAACAATAATATGCTACATTGCTGACAGTATCATTATGATGCAGATTTACTTTAGCTAACAATGCCCTATTAATATTTCTAATATATTATTGGTATCAGCCTATATATCAGTTATCGGCTTCCGATGATAAATAATTATCAGTTATCAGCTTCCAAATACAAATAATTATCGGTTATCAGCTTCCAAATATAAGTAATTATTTTTATCGGCTTCCAAATATAAATAACTATCGGTTATCGGCTTCCAAATATAAAGAATTATCATTATCGGATTCCATATATAGAGAATTATCGATTATTGGCTTCCAAATATTAAAAATGATCTGTTATCAGATTCCAAATACAAAGTATTATTGATTATTGGCTTCCAAATATAAAGATTTATCGTTATCGGATACCATAAATAAAGAATTATCGATATCGGCTTTCAAATATAAATAATTAGTGGTTATCAGCTTCCAAACATAAGTAACTATGGGCTATCAGCTTCCAATTATAAATAATTATCGGTTGTCGGCTTCCATATATAAAGAATAATGGTTATCTGCTTCCAAATATAAAGAATTATTGGTTATCAGCTTCCGGAAAAAAAAAATTGTTATTGGCTTCCAAATATAAAGAGATATTGTTATCGGCTTCCATAAATAAAGAATTATCAGTTATCGGCTTCCACAGATTTATAGTTATCAGCTTTCAAATATATGTAATTATTGGCTATCAGCTTCCAAATATAAAAAATTATGGGCTATAGGCTTCCAGATATAAATAATTATCGTTTTTTAGCTTCCAAATATAAAGAATTATCAGTTATTGGCTTCCAAATGTAAAGAATTATCGGTCATCAGCTTCCAAATAAAAATAATTATCGTTGTCGGCTTGCAAATATAAAGAATTATCAGTTATTGGCTTCCATATAAAGAATTATCGGTTATCAGCTTCCAAATCAAAATAATTATTGTTATCGGTTTCCAAATATAAAGAATTATCAGTTATTGGCTTCCAAATGTAAGAAATTATCGGTTATCAGCTTCCAAATATAAAAAAAAATTTGGTTATCGGCTTTCAAATATAAAGATTTATGAATTATTGGCTTCCATATATTAATAATTATCAGTTATCAGATTCCAAATATTAAAAAAATATTGGTTATCGGCTTCCCAATATGAACAACTATTATTCCCAATAATTAGTTAGTTAATAGTTATTTCCCAAAATTTTCATTTAGGTCCATCCGTTGGTACTTTTTCAAACTCGTGAAAATGGTGACTTACCCAGCATTCCCTTCTCAGCGTGGGACAAACACATGTCTTTCTCAGCACTGGGTAGAACCAAAGCCACTACAAAGCACTCGACACTGTCTGCCATGAGCGCCAGACCCAACACCACAAACAGGGTCCACTGGAACTTCCCATGTCCACAGTCCTCCATGATGTCCTCGTATTGTTCGGCAAGCTCCTCGAGTTCCGACACGGTGTCCGTCGGGGTCCTTGCTTTCGCTCTCGCCGCCCTCCGAGCAGCCTTGACCTCATCTGGATGTGGGATACCCTGATATTCCCCTTCATACATTTGATCATCTTCATCGTGTCCTTCAGTAGCATCACTGGCAGCGTCTTCTTCTTGGGGAGGGTAGTCGGTTTGATACCCGTAGCCGTCCTGTCCTCCCTGTCCATACGTCCCATAACTGTCTCCATCTCCCTGGTGGTAAATGTTGTTTTGGTATGGGTCCGCCATGGTTTCAGAGATGTTCTTAGCTAAATTTCAAGTCGGAGCCTATATGTGCATAATCCGTAGCTGCTTTGGTACGTGTTTGATCTGCTTGCGTGTTTACTGCTAAAGAAATCAAGCTGAAGAACCTCCAGTCAGCAATGGGTCTCTTGAGTGTGGCTGTAAGGATGGCTGTTGGACACTTTTAATCACCTTTGATTTTTGGCGCTCTCAATGGGCCACATGCTGAGCCTGCAAATAGAAAACAACACTGATGAGTTGATTTGGATAAGTTCAACATGTTTCAGGATCAAGTTTAAATGGAGGACACATAAGAGTTTTATACACACTGATTATATTGAGCTTAAAACAGGTTTCATAAAGGAACATTCCACTTGCTAGTTAAGCTAATTTTACGACTACCCTAGAGTTAGATAAGTTTTACCATTTTTGAACCTATTCAGCCGATCTCAGAGTCTGGTGAGTGCACTTTTAGCTTAGCTTAGCATAGATCATTGAATCAGATTAGACCATTAGCATATTCCTCAAAAATGACCAAAGAGTTGTCTTTAAGGGTGCTTTCACACTTGGTTTGAATGCCTGGTCCAAACCCAAGTTTGACAGTCCCCCCTCTGTTTTTTTGTGTGTAGTTCCTTTATTCACCTGGATTCACCACAGTGGAATGAACCACCAACTTATCCAGCATATGTTTTACACAGCGGATACCCTTCCAGCCGCAACCCAGTACTGGGAAATACCCATACAAACTCATTCATATACACTATGACCAATTTAGTTAATCCAAGTCACCTATAGCACATGTCTTTAGACTGGGGGAAACCGGAGCACCCAGAGGAAACCCACGCCAACACAGGGAGAACATGCAAACTCCACACAGAAACGCCAACTGGGACTCGAACCAGCAACCTTCTTGCTGTGAGGCGACAGTGCTAACTACTGAGCCACTGTGTTGCCATATTCTAGGCCGAAATGTTGGAAGTTACATAGCTGGGGACTATTTTCAGGCATGATCTCATTGCATCTTCTGCAGCCATGGAATGACAGCTAAGTTCCTTTATTATTACACCGGAATGAGAGTAAAGTTAGCCATATCAGCCTAGAAAAAAGCTACTTTAAATTTTTCATCAGTCTTAAAACATGATGTAACTACAGAGGATCCAGGCTTTAAATAGAAACATTATCAAAGAAGAATTTTTGAGTGAGATGCTAATGGTCTAATCCGATTCAATGAATTATGCTAAGCTAAACTAAACTAAAATGTTCCTGCCATAACTGTATATCGGCTGATTGAATTCAAAAGTGAATAACCTCAAATATTTAACTCTAAAGATTTGTAAAATCAGCCTATTTTTTATTTTTATTTTTGGAGTGTTCCTTTAAGGTAGTGGTGTCCACACTCGGTCCTGGAGGGCCAGTGTCCTACATATTTTAGTTCTAACCCCAATTAAACACACCTGAACCAGCTAATCAAGCTCTTTCTGGGTATACTTCCAGACAGGTGTGTTAGTGGAAGTTAGAGCTAAACTATGCAGGACCTCCAGGAGCGAATTTGGACACCCCTTCTTTAAGGCTTTATGACGAGATAATTATTAATTGTCATATAATTCACATATGTTTCCTTATATCAATTATTTCAATAGAAATATTGATATAAAAGCAGCATAGTGACATATACTTTACAGCCAATAATATCTACAAGTACAATACACTAATCATGCATTATTTAAACAAAATCCCCTTTTTTGTTAAGCAAGTCACGACATGCCGCATTAATATTGTTTCCTCGATTTCACACTTTTTAAATAGCCTTTGTAAAGCTGTGACCAACAGAGCTTACAAATGAAAGCCAGGCCTGTCACAAAACATGAAAACCTCTGCTCATTTATTCACCAGCCATTCAGGTTTCTGCTAATACAGCAAATAAGATCGGTCTCACTCTACATGAGGATTTACGCAAAGGTTTTGCACATGTCTTATTCCCTATGGTTCATATTTTCACACCAGCAGAACGAAGACAGGTTGTGAATTATAATAAAATCCACCATACATATGTTAATAACATCCGACCGATCTGTTACTACCTTTACGGCCTGTGGATTCGTTACAGGAAATGCCGCTAGCGGAGACGTTCTTGAATTAGGTGCGCGGGTCATTAGTTTAGTTAAACACGGAGTCTGATTTGAATTTCTGTGGTCAGAGCGAGAGGGCACAAGTGGGATCTTCTTTTGAATTGCTAATTCGAGTAAGCGTATAATGAATGGCGAGGTCATATGCATGAGCCTCTTCCAGATTAATTAGCGCTGATGAGGAAGACATGGAGATGACGTACGTATAGTCAGCCTTATTCACTTTGCATTTGTCTAAATTGATTATTGTTATGTGTTTTATATGGCTTTAATTAGACAGGATAGAAGAAAGGAGCGGGTGAGTGTGAGAGTAGTATGAATACTGTCAAGAACATGCTAATCAAAGAAGGCTAACTGGAAACAGCTGGCCATTAGCAAACAAGCTCAATATATGTTTTCTGAGCTTTTGTAGTGGTAAATTATTAAACAGAAGCTAACTATCAAAGTAAACATGTGTTGTTCAGTTAGCTTATAGCTCATTACCCTAAAAGGCATATTACTAGCTGATTAGCAAGCAGTTAAACAAGTGGCTAAATTGGCTAATGTCGAACAAATAAGCAGGTATCTGTTTAGCCTACTACTTTGAATTTACAACTTTGTTATGCTCTTTTTAAAGTTCTGTAACTTTAAAACTTTGGCTTTCGTCAATGCTAATATTCGGGAGGGGTTAGCGTGTGTATTACGCTACAAATCCTCATACTAGTATCTCAGCCTGCTGAGTAATATGTTAGCCTATCACTTCAACAGTCTATTAGGCTCCAAATTTAGCACGACGCTAGCCATTTAACCTGCTAGATTAGTGACAAAATGTTACCTCTCACTTTAGCAATTACGCCACAAATGTAGCATGATGATAACCAATTAGCCTGTTAGATTAGTGAGAGAAATGTTTGAAAAGACAAACGGCTTGGGGAAAGGGAAATTTGGGTTTTTGTCAGTGCTAACTTCTGGTTTAGTCTATCACTTAGCTATCAATTAGGCTGACAATTTAGCATGATGCTAGACAACTAGCCTGCTAAAGTAGTGACACCTATGTTAGCTTATCAATTCAGCAGTCTAGTAGGCCTTGTGCAAATTTAGCATGATGATATAGACAACTGGCCTACCAGATTACTGACAAAATACGTCAGCCTGTCACTTTAGTAATTACATTGCAAATTTAGCATGATACTAGTTGATTAGCTTTTTAGATAAGTGACAGAATTATGAGAAAGGCCAAGCGGCTTGGAGAAAGGAAAAATTTGTTAGGGTTTTTGTCAGTGCTACTTTTGGTTTAGCTTAGTATATCTCTTAGCAGTCAATTAGGCTGACAATTTAGCATGATGCTAGTCAATTAACCTATAAAGTAGTGACACCAATGTTAGCTTATCAGTTCAACAGTCTAGTAAATTTAGCATGATGATAGCCAATTAGCCCACCAGATTACTAAAAAATAGAGTAGGCTGTCACTTTAGTAATTAAACTGCCAATGTAGCATGATGCTAGCCGTTTGGGTTAGACAAAACAAGAATGGGTGTTGTTCAATAGTTTTAGGACAACTTTGATGAAAGGTGATGAACCACGAATGTTGACTACTGTATGTACAGAGACCACATTTCATTACGGAGGTAGACAAAGTTCCTGTTTTTAAAATGCTTTGTGCTTGTCCACTTTCAGCCATTTCCTAAAGTAGTTAAAAAGAAATACCTCCATGTCGACGAATTAATTCAAATTGCCTCAAAATACTAATACTAAGGCGTAAATGATCTCTTGACCTCTTATAATCAGATCACCGAAAATCCAAAGTGGAAACAGGGCCAAACAAGCAAAGTAAAAACACATTTAGCATGTGCAAATGTTCATCAGGGTCATCAACAACAAACACAATGAGATTTCCCTCAGGAACAGACCCAATCAGGGCCTATTAGAGAACTGTTGTTCAGTAAAAAAAAATCAATTTGCAATCATTTTAGGCAGCACAAACCCATCCAAACTCTCGCGCTTGTCTTGTTAAACATTGGTTCCCATCTGTGCATTATATGAGAGCAGCGACTTCTGGCACCAAAGCGCTCGAGCTCATTAAATGGCTTTTTATTCAAGATTGATTCACTCCCCCCTTTTTTTCCGGCTCCTGTGTGGATAACAATGAATTTGTTTATTGTTCAAAAGAGGATTGCACTGGGTAAATGTGCAATTTGGCATTTTCTCAGGCCTTTCGGCATCTGCGACAAAGTGGCTCATTGCATGTTGACAAAGACGAGTGAAGGTCAGAGTTACCAGATGGGCTTTTCTCTAAAAGAATCCGTTGCAGGTTTATCTGATAGCTTTTCCACCGAGCCTTGCAGGAGACATTTGGTTCTTTGCAAACTGATATAAGAGGCACTTTCTGAGCAATAGTTACTATGACAATGCTAATAGTTACTATGACAATCAGGCAAGACTTTGCGAGTTAAAGGAAGGGCTGTTTTTGCTATTCAGGCTAATTATAAATGTTAAAAGAAGGGAGACTTGAGGAATCGTGGAATCGATGCTTGTTTGCATGGACACGTTGCCTTTGAAAGGAATGGCAAAGTCACTGGCATTGATTGCAAATATCGCAAAGACACCAGTCAATAAGTTCTTACACTGAATTTAAATGAGGAAAAAAGAGAGTGTGCACATTTTGTGGTACAACATTCATTCATTTTCTTTTTTGGCTTAGTCCCTTTATTAATTAGGGGTCGCCACAGCAGAATGAACCGCCAACTTATCCAGCATATGTTTAACGCAGCGGATGATACAATAAAATGAGGAAATAAAAAGATTAAATGGACAGTTTACCCAAACAAGAATAAAACCAACATAAGACTCATTCTGAAAATGTAGCCCTATACATTTCTGGAGATCGTAAATTGGGTAGCCAGAAGTAGGTATGGCTGTATTTCATTTTTTTACAGATGATGCAGGGCGGTATGATGGCGTTCTTTTTCACGCTTACCAGCTGACCGTTTAGCTTCATATGGCTTTCCGGCTGTTACCAGTTTGTTCAGTAGCTCGCCATGTACGTACGTCACGATGGGGTTCGAGTCTGGTGAAGAACGGTTTCAGAAAGCAACAGCCAATGGAAACACACTCTGTTGAATTCGT